TTAAAAAATGTTAATGAATTTCATTATTTTAATTTGATGTTAATTTTTTATATTGATGTCAGGTAATTATAATAATAATAATAATAATAATAATAATAATATCACTTTGTAATTTTGACGGTTATAATGAAGCTGTCGCTGCTTAAAATGACTAGACAATTTCAAAGTATCTATTTTGAATATTATCACTCCCTTCCCCCTAACCTAGTTTTTTTAATTTGTCAGGTCCCGAAAAAAATATTTTCTGGGTCACCCTGTCGACTGGCTTAACTCCTTTCTTTGCTTCTCTCACTCTCTCCCTTTCCCTCCACATGCCTGTCTCTCTTTTGCTTTCCCCTAAAAACCATATATCGAAATCTCTGACTTTCTCCCTCTTTTTTCTTTACTCTTTTAATATTAAAACAATGTAGCGGCGAAACACAATCGAGTGGTAATGAAAAAAAGTCAAAAAAAAAGAAAAAAAAAGAAAGATCGAAAGAAAGAAGAGAGTGAATAGAAAAGAAAAGAAAATGAGCAAGAAAGAGTGAAAAGAGGGGGGGGAGTGTAGAGAGTGTATTTTCATGGAAACTTTTTTTTACCCCTGTGGTGCTCCAACTGCATGAATTTAAGCGTGCAACTAGATTGGCGCTTAGGTCCCACTTGTTTATTATTGAAATAGCTAAATGCAACCGCTACTTTTCCTCCAATCGTTTCTTTTCTCGCACTGTGGAACTCCCTTCCGTTTCCTTGCTTCTCTGGTAACAACAAAAATTTAAACGCAACGTCAATCCCCATCTTCTATCGTCTTGAATCCCGTTCGTATTTTTGTCCGTTTCCACAATCCCCCCTATTCTTTCTTTTTATGTACCCTGTATTTTCAGGACGTAGAAGATCATGGCTCTCCCCTCTCCCTGTATCCCTTGCTGCTCTCAACAAGTTCCTTCCCTCTACCTCCTCACCCAGGCCACGTTCTGTCATCCGCTTACTTATACTCAGTGTTTTCTCACACTTCTCACTCATTGTAACCCTCTGCTAGGGGTGTAATGGTTAAAAATAAATAAATAAATGTGTGGGTTGAACGCGAAGAACATGGTGAGGGAATGCCTAATCTTAGATTGTCTGCTGAGGCGGAAATTGTTTTCTGAGTTACATTTGAATGTTACAGAGACGAATATCATTATTTCGCTGAACAGATTGTAGAATATTGCTGTTTTCATCAGCCCCTTCCATATAATTCCACTGCAACAAATATACCTTACTCCCACGGGGACATGTTAAAAAGAAAAGAAAAAGAAAAGACACTGAGGCGTGTTCTTCATTCAGGGATTGAATAGAATAACAGAGAGAGGGGGTGGAAAGGAGACAGTGAAGGAAAGACAGGAAGGAAGGGGAGATATTGAATGAAGGGAGGAAGGGAGTGAGAGAGGAGAAAAAATGAGAAATGTGTAGGAAAGAGAAAAGGAAAGAAAGAAAGACGGAAAAAGAAGAAAGAAAGAGGGAAAACTTAAAAAAGAAAGAAAGAAAAAAGAAAGAAAGAAAGAAAGAAGAAAGAAAGAAAGAAAGGTTTATGAAAGAAAGTAAGCAAGAAAGAAAGAGTAACGGAAAGAGAGAAGAAAGAAAGAGAGTATCCCTTAAAGAAACAATGAAAGAAAGAAAGGAACAGGCTGCGATTAAAAAGAAAGAAAGAAAGAAAGAAAATGATGGCGTAACATGGAAAAGAAATAAAAAAATGAAAGTTATAAGAAAGAAAGAAAGAAAGAAAGAATGAATGAACGGTGCAAGATTAAAAAAAATGAAAGTTGTGAAAAAGAAAGGAAGTAAGATGAAAGAAAGAAAGAAAGAAAGAAAGAAAGAAAGAAAGAATATGAAAAGTTCATCAGATTAAAAAGAAAGAAAAAATGAAAGTTGTAAGAAAGAAAGAAAGAAGGAAAATAAAGAAATATATCAGATTAAAAAGAAAGAAAAAATGAAAGTTGTAACAAAGAAAGAAAAAGAAAGAAAGAAAGAAAGAAAATGGAAAGTGCATCAGATTAAAAAGAAAAAAATGAAAGTTGTAGAAAAAAGAAAGAAAGAAAGAAAGAAAAGAAATGAAGAACTGCATCAGATTAAAAAGAAAGAAAATTGAAAGATGTAAGAAAGAAAGAAAGAAAGAAAGAAAGAAAGAAGGAAAGAAAGATAGAAAAAAGAAAGAAGGAAAATAAAGAAATGCATCAGATTAAAAACAAAGAAAAAATGAAAGTTGTAACAAAGAAAGAAAGAAATAAAGTAAGAGAGAAAATAGAGAAATGCATCAGATTAAAAAGAAAGAAAGAAAGAAAGAAAGAAAGAAAGAAAAATTAAAAAAAGAAAAAGTGAAAATTGTAAAAAAAAAGAAAGAAAGAAAGAAAGAAAGAAACAAATAAACAAGGAAAGAAGAAAAGAAAGAAAGAAAGAAGGAAAATAAAGAAATGCATCAGATTAAAAACAAAGAAAAAATGAAAGTTGTAACAAAGAAAGAAAGAAAGAAAGAAAGAAAGAAAGAAAGAAAGAAAGAAAGAAAGAGAGAAAATGGAGAAATGCATCAGATTAAAAAGAAAGAAAGAAAGAAAGAAAGAAAAATTAAAAAAAGAAAAAAGTGAAAATTGTAAAAAAAAAAAAAGAAAGAAAGAAAGAAAGAAAGAAAGAAAGAAAGAAAGAAAGAAATATGCCAGGAAAATGGAAGCTGAAAAAAAGAAGACAATAAAAGAACGATAGAAAGACGAAACAAAAACAAATAAAAAAGCAAAGAAAGAAAATCGAAAACAAAATGTTAAGAAACCATATGTGAAAAAAAAAAAAAAAACCAACATCACTGAAGTAAAAAAAGAAAATAAAGGAGAAATGTTTTTGTTTTTTTTTTTTTAATAAAAAAAAAAACAAAACAAAACGAAGTACATGAAAAAGTCGGCAGAAAAACCTTCATTTCGTAAGGAAATAACTAAGGAAAATAACGGAAAGAAAGAAAAATTGTTCTCGCAGTTTTATTACTGACATTAAATCCTGCAACATCGACTGGCTTCAGATTAAAAGGAGGCACGCTTAAAACTTAGATAATTACTTTTATCAACATTATTATTGTGATCACTGCCGCCATCATGAAACATTATCAGCATCATGTGTATTAAATTTCTATGATTTTAAGACGATGCCATGATTGATTTTTCTTTATTTCCGTCTTTCTTTCTTTCTTTTTTTCTTTCATTTTACCTATTTTATTATTTTTCTACCTTTATTTATTTTTGTGGGGGCGCTGGGGTCTCCGCCATCTTGGAACGCTCGTTAACCTGTGCGCATTCTAATTTTCTCATGCCCACGATACAGCAGTCCTTGTCGGTCCCTGACCCTAATTCTCGATATCTTTTCCCCCCTATCCAAAAAAATAAAAATAAATAAAATAAAAAATAAAATAAATATATAAAAACGAGAGAAAGAAAGAGCGAGAACATTCTCCGTTCCTAATTCCGAAGCATTCGTGTCGTATTCATTAAATCAATCAATCAGTCGCTAATTAATTGGAAACAGAGCAAGTTGGGGTGGGGTGGGATTTTCGAATTGAGGGCGGGGAGGTGTTCAGAAGTTGGTGGGGTGCAGCTAAATGTCGAATGGTTGCAAGGCAAGCGAATTTAGCTCCAGAAAGGAAGCCTTATCAAGACAGACCATTAGAGAGAGAGAGAGAGAGAGAGGGGGGGGAGACGAAGAAAAGGAAGGAAGGAAGGAAGGAAGGAAGGAAGACGAGAGTAAGAGAGGAGGAACGAAGATTGAAAGTAAAGATAAAAGGTTAAAATATGAAAGAAAACTGAAGGGAAAAGACATTAAAATAATATTTCCTGAAGAAAGGAGAAAAGGAAAAACATTTGCATAAAGGCGGAGAGAATAAAAAAAATAGGTGAGAGTGGCGAGGATAAAAGGTGAGAAAAGTAACAGTAATGAGATAGATAGATAGATAGATAGATAGATAGATAGATAGATAGATAACAGATAGATAGATAGATAGATAGATAGATAGATAGATAGATAGATAGATAGATAATGAATAGATAGTGATAGATAGATAATGAACAGAGTGTAGATAGATAGATAGATAGATAGATAGATAGATAGATAGATAGATAGATGTGAACAGACTGAGAGAGATAGATAGACAATGAAGAGAGAGAGAGATAGATACAGATAGATAAATAGATAGATGCGAACAGACTGAGATAGATAATGAACAACGATAGATGGATACATATAAACAGACTTAGATAGATACGAACAGACTGAGATAGATAGATAGATAGATAGATAGATAGATAGATAGATAGATAGATAGATAATGAACAGAATGAGATAGATAGATAGATAGATAGATAGATAGATAGATAGATAGATAGATAGATAGATAGATATAAGCGAGTGAGGTAGATAGATAAGAGTGCGGTGGTGCAAACATAGATATGAGCAGATGAGATTAATCGATAGATATGAGTGGGTGAGATAGATACTTAAGCGCTGTGAGGAATAGATAGATAGATAGATAGATAGATAGATAGATAGATAGATAGATAGATAGATAGATAGATATGAAAAGACTGAGATAGATAGATAGATAGATAGATAGATAGATAGATAGATAGATAGATATGAAAAGACTGAAGATAGATAGATCGATAGATAGATAGATAGATATGAAAAGACTGAAGATAAATAGAAAATAGATAGATAGATAGATAGATAGATAGATAGATAGATAGATAGATAGATAGATATGAAAAGACTGAGATAGATAGATAGATAGATAGATAGATAGATAGATAGATATGAAAAGACTGAAGATAGATAGATAGATAGATAGATAGATAGATAGATAGAATAGATAGATAGATAGATAGATATGAAAGATAGATAGATAGATAGATAGATAGATAGATAGATAGATAGACTGATAGATAGATAGATAGATATGAAAAGACTGAAGATAGATAGATAGATAGATAGATAGAATAGATAGATAGATAGATCTGTTTTATGGGAAAAAAATGACAAGGTTTCAAAAGGTTTCGCGTGCCGCTTTTCGCCCCTGAGGACTTCATCGTACCAACGTGACGTTTACGTTAATTCCACTACAAACGCGCACAAAGCAAAGGGGACAATTAGATTTTTTTTGTAATATACTTATTTATTACTTTAATTACAACGTTTCACCTTTCTATCTATCAATGATGTCGTGACATCAAGGTAAAAGTCACATTGATACGATGAAGTCCTTATGGTCGAAACGCGTCGCACGAAATCTTTTGACATCTTTTGGCATAAATCGCTTTCTCTTTTTTTTTTTCAAATCGAAATTATGGTTAGACTCATTCTGGTGAGTACCTGGCTCCTGTTATCGTTTACAAGAGCCAGGTCAGTCCAAAAATGGAACAATGTTGACGTTTTTGCGCGGGGGATGCCCAGATATCAATCTCCAGAATCCCAAAGAGTCTCCGGGCCGTTGTGGGTGACGATTTGTTCTCTATCCTATAAACTCTCACCCACAGACGGGTGTGTGACAAGCCTCTCACTGCTGTACTGCTAAGGAAAGTGCTCGGACGTAACTACATTCCCTGGTCACGCCAATTTTAAACTTCCACGTTCAAGAGCAGCCATACCGCTTACATAGTAGCAAACCATCGACATTTCCTCCGAATTCCATCGGTGAAAATTAAGTTCCATTCGAACACCATCTTCAGGCGAATCACTGTTCTGCAAAACCGACTCCCAAGAGGATGCTTCCCCGATCACTACAACTTTAACCTGTTCAGGGCTAGGGTTAACCATTATCGTCCGCTCCTATCCGTACAAATTGCCTGCTAACGTAACCCTCTTCCTCGAGTGCCCTCCGGACCATGTCAAGGGCGAACCTTGCTATATATAATAAAAAAAAAAAATACACGAATATAAAAACAAACAAAAACAACAAAAAACATTAATCACTCATCCGATTTTGTTTGTATGGCAATGACGGTGGTTAGTAAATATACTATACATCTTTCATTGTCCAATGATGGTTTTAAATCGTTTGACAAACTCATTTGTGATCATTTCCAGGAAGAAAAAATAAAGCTTGTGTTACGTGTGACAGCCTGGTGGTAACTGATATTTTCACGAGATAAGATTGTGTGCAAAGCTACACTATCAAGATCAAAAGCAGAAAGGCTCCCACCGCTGCTAGTGAACAGAGCATGTTTAAGATTGTGGCTCGGCTCCAGGAAGGTTTATAGTCTTGGAAATACTTGTAACAGCTACGTATTACCACCGTGAAACCTTCGATTTCAGCTTTTAATCCAGACCTTCGTGGCAATAGATGGGTATGGCTTTTGTCTACACCAGCTTGTTTGGATTAAATAGATTATTGACCAAGAAGAGTCATTTTTTTTTCTCGCAATTTATTCTTCATTTGTTTTCTTTTTTTTTTAAAGGTTTATTCTAAAGTAAAACAACCTAAGATCAGACGCATTTTACATTGATAAAATCCTTCGTAAGGTGTGAGCTGTACTTGTGATTTTTTTTTTTTTTTTTGTATTTCTTTTTTTGTATTTCTACGAGAGTTCCATTCAATCAGTCTGTCAGAACTTTTTTCCCAATCAATCCGAGTGCTCCAGCCACAACTGGAATTACTGATGTCCTCATGTACCATCCTTTTAGACATCTATTTCAAGACCCTTGTTTTTCGAAGATCTTTAAATATACATTACAATCTGAAGAGACTGTCAATAAGAAAGCACATTCTGTTCTTGTGGTCTTTGATTTCGATGTTTCGTTAATTAACTTTGATTATTTTGTCTGCGTGTATTTTAAAGTCCCATAACATTGTTACAGTTCCTATGTCTGTAAACGGGTTTGGGTAGTGTTCATACCAATTTCTTGCAGTTCCTGTTTCCATAAACGTTGCAGATATTCCACTGCTGATAATTGTCGGCCCTGTCATGCCGTGTCTTTTATTCGGTTGATAGTAATACCGTGCAACCTTATACAAGATGGTCAATTATTTCTGGATATTTATCACAGAATCTGCATTTGAGGTCAAGCCCAATTTTTCAGTACTTTTCCTTTGATAATTTCCAAATAGCAAGCATTGGACTTGTGCGACAAGAATAAAACCTTCGATTTCAGCTTTTAATCCTGCACTACGTGGCAACTGATGGGTATGGGTCTTGTCTACATCACCTTGTTTGAAACAAGTACAGGATTGACCATGAAGAGATTTTTCTAGTTATCTTTTCTTCATTTGGTCCATTGTATTTGATTTCTTTTTTTAAGGTTTATTATAAAATAAATCAACATAAGATTAGACAAATTTAACATTCATAAAATCCTTGTGAGCTGTATTTATGATTTTTTTTGTGTGTGTTTTTTAAGGCATGGGCTACCAGAGATCCAATCAATGTGTCCGTGTTCTTTTCCAATCAATCAGAAATGTCATCAACACATTTTCCACTGAAGATTTTCGTAAAAAAAAAAAGGAACAAATTAAAAAAAAAATAGACGTATTATACATGGATAATGCCCTTCGTAAGGCATGAGTCGTACTAGTGAAAACATTTTTTATTCAGGGGATACTAATATCGTGCAACAAGATGGTCAATTGTTTCTGGATATTTATCACGGAATCTGTATTCCAGTTCAACACAATATTTCAGTATGTTTAGTTGGTAATGTCTAGTAAGCAAACACCGGCTTGTGCAGCAAGACTAAAAACTTTCAGTTTCAGATTTTAATCCAACACTACGTATGCACTGATGGGTACGGGTTTTGTCTGCATCAACTTGTTTGGCACGGGCAGAGTATTGATCCTGAAAAGGTTTATCTTGTCGTCAGTTCTGCATTTAGTAAAATGCATCTGTTTTCGCCTTTAAGCTCTCCGCCGCTGCAGTTGGTGTTTTATGGTTTACTTGCATTTCTTCGTCCGCTTGAAATTCCCTTTCGCCATCTTTCTTATTGTTTTTACCATTCTTCCTTTCTTCGATTTTTACCATTTTATCCTCTTTTTAATGTACCGCCATATTTGTACCATTCACACCCTCCCTTTTCTTTCTTTGTCGTTTCTTCATCAGTTAACACTATCCTTCTTTTTCTCCTTCTTTTTCCTTCCTTTTATCATTCTCGTCTTCGTCTTTCTTTTCTTTCGTCCGTTTAGACCAGAAGTTCTCAACCGGGTGTTATGAATAATCAAGAGTGGTCTCCCTTGTTTTGTTACTCTTCTCTTTGAGAGAGCTATTTCTGTTTACTGGGCATATAAAAGGACACTATACGTAACCTTCTATTCTCAATTGAATAAAGCTTAATTAAAGCCTACATCTGCGTACTTTTGTCATTACCCCGGGGCCCATAGGCACCCTGTGGGTTTAACTCACACAAAAAATAACAAGATTGGGGGTCCATGGTAATATTTTAGTGGTCCATAGTGTAATTTCACTTCGGAACGGTTGTCAGAGATGAGAATTTGAATTTCTACAGCAAACGTACGCCATGTTAAATCCTAAAAATAAAAAAACAACTCTAAGACTACCAGAAGAGAAGATCAAGCGATGTAATTTAGCGTCCCTTTTACTTTATCGAATGTTCTGATTGTAAAAGTCGAATAAAAACAGAGAATGATATATAATTGAAGAATATATATATATATATATATATATATATATATATATATATATATATATATATGAGGGTCATTCAATAAATAAGGTGAATTTTTCGGTATAAGGACTTCTAATACAGATAGAAGCTTACTATTTTTTATTATTTCTCAACGTAGTCTCCCAGCACTGTCACACACTTTTCCCATCTGTGCACAAGCTTCCGTATTCCCTCAGCGTAAAAATCTTTGGACTGATGTCTTAGCCAGTCGCTCACAACACTTTTGACTTCATCGTCACTTTTAAACTTCGTGACTCTCGTGAAGGCTTTCAAGGGACCAAACAGGTGAAAGTCTGAAGGGCAAGGTCTGGGCTGTAAGGGGGGATGAGGGAGCAGTTCCCAGCCCAGCTCGTTAATGGTCTCCACCGTTTGGGCTGCTGTGTTAGGCCTTGCGTTGTCATGATGCAAGATGACTCCTTCTGACTGATGACCCCTGCGTTTGTTCTTTATGTCTTTCTTGACCTGCCTCAGCAGTTCACAGTAGTTCTTCTGTCAGACTGAATGAGGTCATTGACTGATTCGATCACCTCAGGAGACCTCACTTCTGTAGGCCTCCTAGGCCTGTCTTCATCCTCAACACTGCTCCGTCCTTCTTTAAACAATTTAGCCCACTTGTAGACATTTTTTTTGTCTGAAACATGTGGCACCATACGCAGTTGACAATCTCCTATGAATTTCAACTGGTTTGCACCCTTCAGCAACCAAAAACTTGATAACTGACCGCTGTTCAATCCCGGAGCATGCTTCTTGGTCGGCCATCTTTGTTAATCGACAAAACTCTCAAAGTTTTTTTTTTTAATCTGCAAAAGAAATTAAATCCATGTGAAAAAGAAGTAAAACAATTTTTTTTTAAAAAGTAAGCTTCTATCTGTATTAGAAGTCCTTTTACCGAAAAATTCACCTCATTTATTGAATGACCCTTGTATATATGAGGAAAAATTATATAAAGATTATTATTCATCATATAACTTAATTTAATATATTAATAATAGATAATAATAGTAATTTTAGATATTAATAAAATAACAAATTAATATATTAATATAAATTAATTAATATAGTAATAAATTCGACATTATGAAAATGGCTGATCGACTATTATTGACCTCGATGAAGCCGAATATAAAAAAAAAGCTCGCTGAGCAGCATCAACCACAGGGATCTCATCGAAAATTGATTTTTGTATTTTTACCAACACAAGTGAGTAATAGAATTCGTTTATTAATACAGATGTATATATGTACATTATACAACTCAAAAAATGTTTAATATTTTGTTGGGTAAACTTTTGCTTTAATAACCGCCTTAATTCTTCTGTGTTAACTTTCATATTATGACCTTG